TCAGTATTCACAGTCTTTCAATATATTAGACTGGCTCTCAAATAGTGGAAAAAGTAACCAGGATGTTTAAATTATGTTGTTTACTTTTTTAAAAGTTATTTTAAATTTTTAGTCTTAGTTATATACAGAGAGGAAATATTTAGAAAACTGAAACTGTGCCAGTTGTTATTTAACCCGATCAAATGATCTCAGATACTGAAAATGTATTGGCATGTCCCCTATTCCTGCCTGAACGTCCATGGAGACTCTCTCTGACAAAGATACACATTTCGTATCTAGATCTTTCTCAGTAGTGACCTTATTTTGTGGATATTGATGAAAATAATCCTCCAGTCATTCTTCCGCCCCTAAAAAGCTTGGTTTCAGCACGTCACTAGTGATTTATGACCACTCACGACTTGGCAGCAACAAGGGGGCAGAATATAGATTTGCCCTCAGGAAATGGAAAGGAAACAAGAGTAAAAGCTGCGTGGGTGATTGGCTGCTACTGGTGAGGTAGGCCCCGTTAATAGAAATCACCTTTCTCCTCTTTTTCTGGCTTATCACTTAAATAAATCTTTTTTTTTTTTTGGTCTGGATGCACGTCTTGCTCCACTTTTAGAATGTAGCTAGGTGTTGAATTGTGCGATGTAGACTCAGGGGTGAGGCAGCCCCGATGAAAGCATGCCCGACTAGATCGGTGGGACCAGGCGCACAGTGTACCCGGCTCAGGGGAGAAGCCCGCGGCCGGGACTGTGGCCGGGACTGTGGCTGGGACCGTGGCCGGGCAGGGCAGCGCCATCCGCACGTGTCCCGGGCACAGAAGGGGCTCGAACCGCCCACGCGCAGGAGCCCGCGCGAGGGAAACGGCAGAGGTCGGTTAGTCCGCTGGGGCGTGGTGGGAACAACCCAGCGTCAGTACAGATGCACGTGCACAGCTGAGGTTGTATTTTCAGGTCATTTTCTGATCACCAGCTGGGAGAAGCGATGTAACAGGGGCTGGGGACCTGCTGGGAATGGTTTCCTACCTTCCCGTGAGGTTTAGTTTTCCAGACAGTTCTCTTCATCTGGCGCCTGGCCTCGGGGCGCTCCGGGGCCCCACACCTGGGCTCAGCCGGGGACAGGCTCCGGGCGCAGGGCCTGCAAGCTCCTCGCGGGAGGAACCCCCGCCGCCGTGACTGCGCTGCTTCTGGGCTGGTGGCGGACACATCCGACCAGGTTCCCGCGGCCCACATTCCCACCGGGGCAAACTCCCGGCCTCACACCGTGTGCAACCAAAAGGAAAGGAAAGAAAAAGGGAACTAGTATGTCCCCAACTACTGTCTGCCTCTGGCTGCCGTAGGCGGTGCTCGTCTGTTACAGCCACGGGGGAAGCTGGCAGAGCGCCCCGCCACAGGGGTACACAGCCTGCACTGAGCCCGGTGGTGGACTCAGAACCGCTGCACATCTTCAACCTCTTCCCAAAAGTATTTGTGGAGCACTTCCTTGTAGAGGCTGGAGAGAGGCAACAAAAATATGCTTCGTATAATTTAATCTACCTAACATTTCAAAAATCAGCATCATAAAGAATCTAAAGCTGCCCCTGACCGGGTGGCCCAGTTGGCTGGAGCATAGTCCTGTGCACCAAAAGGTTGTGGGGTCGATTCCCAGGCAGGGCACACACTAGATTTCCGTTGGATTCCTGGTTGGGGCACATACCCGAGGCAACCGAATGATGTTTCTCTCTCTCTCTCTCAAATAAATTTAAACACACCCCCAGGTGAGGATTAAACAAACAAACAAAGAATCTAAAGCTGAGATAAATTACCTGCCCATGGAGGTTACAAATAGAAGCCTTTATAGGTGAGGAGGGTTAAGCAGCCAGATATTGCTGAGGCGTCAGAGGCTGAGGCTTGGATTTTACGTTATTCCACATTACCAAGACTTTTAGGCAGAAGTGTGAGAAGGGCACAAACGTTCACTAAAGCCTTTAGTGACAACTGTCTCAAAGTTACCAGTCTCGACACTTGCACAATAGCTACTGTTATCAAAAGTTATGCAGTTAAAATATTAGAAAATCATGTAAAGTTATTATAGCATGGTGTTTTACCACGCTGAAATTGCCAAAGAACTTACAGCATTTGAGTGAAAGAAATTGGAATTGGCTTTAGTTAGCTGTGTGCTATTTGGTAAGGATTAGATAAATGACATTTTTGGCACAAGAGTTGGTGGTAGTGGTGGTAGTTTTAGTAATGGTACAATTGTCATTTCATTTCCTCCTAAGGTTTGTCTATGTGCAGGAAGGAAGTTATGTCCCCTGCAAAAATCAGGGTTGAAGTTCATAAAAGGAAAAAAGATACTGAAAACCATATTTAGTTTTTAGTTATGTTTTGGATTATATATCTCATTAGTGAGTCGGTGTGTTCTTAGAGAAATATTGGATGAATTTAAATTCAGAAACTCTTAAATTATCATTGCAACTGCTCAGGAAAATTTATAGTCTCGAGACAAAACACACACACACACAAAACTTAAGGAAGCATTCTGTTTATCATTGTTAATGTCTCATATATGGAAGAAGTAAATAGACTTAAAAGTTATTTTGGACACTATTGCTTCCCTGGGGGATGCAGCAACAGCAGTCGTCGATTCTGTTCCTACCCATCCAGTCCAGTTACACAAACACTCAGATCACAGATGATTTCCAGAGCCAAGAAGACATCACCTCCAGTCTCCCCACTTTTTACCCATTGTCTCAGGCTATCCTTCTTCTTTCCCCTCTTTGTTCTTTTTCAACCATCATGTTTTCTTTTCCTTTACCATATGTATGATTCCTACTCTTCTTTGACTTCTCTGTTATCTGAGTTATAGTAGCCACCTATCTATCTCAGATGTCAGAAGCTTGTTAGAGAGACATTGTAACTTGCACACAGTCTAACCAAGATGTCTTTCCACGAGCCAGCTCCTACCCGTTATGCCAAAAAGCCTTCCAGACACTCTCTGCTTCTGTCTACTTTTTGTTGCTGTTGTTCTTGTATCACTGGATTTCTTTAGATTCTTGGTTCCACTATCTATAATGTAGAAATAGAAATAGCGCCTGTGCCATCTAGTTTGCATCATCATTGTTTACAAGTATAGGTTTTTGAGTCACACATCTGGGTGAATTTCTAGTTACCAGCTGCATGACATTTGGTAAGTTCCTTAAATTTTGTATGTCTCTGTCTATAAAATAACATGCAATAATGGTATCTATCTCATAGGATTTTAAGGATTCATTGAGAAATTACACTTGACCTACTTAGTAGCGTGCTAAGAATTTGTGCACAAAGTACTTTTGCGTTGTGCTGAGTGTTGGCACCGTGTTGAATGCAGTCTATAGACAATAGTAACACTTCCCAACAATGTTCACATTTATATCCCAAACTACTGAATATGTGACCTTACATGGTAAGAAGGGGATTTTCAGCTGTGATCCAGATGAATTCTTAAAAGGAAGAGGCCGTCCCAGATTATCCAAGAGGACCCAATGTGATAACAAAGATCTTCATTAAAGTAGAGCATGAGGCTGAAAGTCATAAAGCGATGAGATGTGACAAAGGGAGCAGAGGCTGGAGCCATACACCTTGAAAATGGAGGAAGGGGCCATGAGCCAAGGAATGTGAGGCCCTTGTAGAACCATTGGAGCAAGGAGCCTCTTTCCTGGAGGGTGCAGGAGGAGCGGAACTCTGCCACCACCTTGATTTTATCCCTGAAGAGTTATGAGCTCCAGAACGGAAAAGATAATGTTTATGGTGGCCCGAGCCTCTGAATTTGTCATCATCTGTTCCAGCGGTGGGTGGACACTAGTGCAATTGGAAGTAGCAAAATTGGAAAAGGAAAAACATAATTTCTCTCATTATTCCTCCTGCTATCTGTTCTTCCCCATTCAAGCCTGGCCCCTAATCTCCTTAGCCACCCACCTGACACAGAGAGACAGTAAGTGAAGTTGAAGCATATTGATGGAGCACAAGAGAAAAACCATTTTTGTTGCATGTGGAGAGGATATTCTACAGCTGTAGAATATATTCTACAGCTGTCTTTAAGAGAAGAGATTAAAATCATGAAATTAACACATAAACCACCAACAACCACAAAATCTTGAAAGAACAAAACCAAAATACTTTGTTTTATTTTTTTCACTACAAGAATCTAAACCTCATTCATCCCTTAACTCAATACAACCAGAGTTCTATCCAGACCATTTCAATAGAAAAAAATGTTCCTGCCAACATCTCATACTCAACATGTCCAAATCTAAAATTATCTTCTTTCCACCTATAAAACAAAATCCTACAAAACAAATAATGACTTTACCTCTATGTTATATTCACAATTTTGAGAAATTCACTGAGCATTTTTATTTTTCAATCTTAATATTTTTATCACACACTTCATCAACGTCACTATTCTTGGGGTATTTTATCAGAGAAATGTAGCTTGAACCTGTCCCCCCATCTCATCCCCTTTTGCCTGCGTATTTGTCTTAAAAACCTTCCTCAAACTGCAGGTGTCAATCACTCTCTGCTGCCCTCAATCTAGAGATCCTGGTGCCACACTCATCATCCCAAAACACATCCCGACCTTTCTAAAAGGTACGATGGTGACAGAGCTTCAAAGCTTGAGTACATGAGAAGAGCAAGCAGATGATGGGCAGAGGCAGGGGCAGTAACCCCAGCAGGATGGCAGAGAGGAAAAGAGAGGCTTGGAGGGTGGCGATAGGTGGGTTAGATACAGGGAAATATAACAATGAGCACACTGAGGAAAATAAAACCAGTTTCTCGTTGTTTGAAATGAAGTTGGACATAAAGTGTGAACTCTGGAATGGACCCTGGAGTGTTGGCCTGGAAAGAAGACATCAGTGTTCACTCATTATTTTCAATTTAAATAACTACATATAGATATATAGGTTTCAATATACATGAGTGTGTGTGTGCACGTGTGCATGCGCACACGTAGTTTTCCATCCAATGACAGAGCCTGGAAGAAGTATTACCTCAAGACCAATGGGCACTCCTAGAACCTGGATCTTCATTTCTAAACACTACGCTATTGGTCAGAGCTTCTTGGAGAAATGCCTGAATCCAGCGTGTAGGCAGAAAAAGCACAAGATTACCGTGGAGCACTTTAATTTCCTTATGTAAGCAGTGCTCAGACACGGATAGGACTGGTCACAATTTCTGAATTGTGACCTCTCACTGGCCAGGTATGGTGCAATTCGATTATCAAAAGAAAACATGATCATAAAGAGGTAATTACCCTTTGATTCAATTAGGAATCAGTATCTCTGTCTATGAACAAATACCCAAATCAACATTTGGTGAGGAATGTAATATTTATATAGTCTTAAAATACTTTCCCACAAAATATTTATTTAATTACACAGAGAAAAAAAGAGTTACTTTACATTGCAGAACTCTGAGAAATACTACCTTAACCAAGTGATCAAAGCTAGATCCTAATCCCAGATGCAGCTGACACTGTGTGGCTCCTGTTCCGGTGCCACCTGGCTCTGCCCAAGTCACACGACTCGGATCTCAACGTGAGGAGCACTAGACAAACCCACGCAGAGGACATTCTGCAAAATAACAAACCTAGAATATGTGAATGTGACAAATTCATAAAAATCAAGAGAAAGCTGAGGAAATACTGCAGACCTACGGGAGCTCAAGAGCAGGACAACGGAATACAACACATTTCTAAGCTCAGTCCTGTTAAAAGTAACACATTGAGGACCGTTGGTAAAACTGGAACAGAGATTGCCAATTAAATGCTAATAACATATCCATGTTCACTTCTAATTTTGACAATGATATTGTAGTAATAAAGCAAGAGAATGTCCTTATTTATATTGAATACACACCAAAATATTCAGCAGCAATGAAGCATTATGTCAGAAACTCACCTTTAAAATATTCAGGGGAAAATGTACTATACTTGCAGTTTACTTTATGTTCGAGATTGTTTCAAATAAGTGTTTTTTAAATGTTTGATGGACACCCACGGACGTGATTCCACTGCGTTAATATTCCATTCTCATTCAGTCCTGGCCTGGTTTCTTTCTGAAATATTTTATTTTTCTACATTCATGTCAGTTGTTTGTGAGCTTCTTAGATGAACCCTTTGCTGAAAGGTCTTAACTTTTCCAGGACCTTAGAGGCAAAGAATTGTGGTAAAATCTTCATAAGCTTAGCTTAGGAGGAGGTTTGAGTGGCAAAAAAAAAAAAAAGTAAAGAAGTAGACACCTTGCTCTGCAACAGAAAAACGTCTGAATCTGGCTACTGTCCCTAAAAACCACTAGATTACCCGCAAACACAAGCTTAAATTATCTTCCCTTTCTGTATGATTTTTTTATGATGACCCAGTCATCCTGTTATTCTCATAATAAAACATGTCTGCCCACCTTTTCCGACGATCTCTCTTTCGCAAGGTGAGCAGGTTCCTTCCGGATCCTTCCCCCTGCGGGGTGCGCCGCCTGTTGTACCCCGCGCCTTCCGGATCCCTCCCCCTGCGGGTGCGCCGCCTGTTGTACCCCGCGCCTTCCGGATCCCTCCCCCTGCGGGTGCGCCGCCTGTTGTACCCCGCGCCTTCCGGATCCCTCCCCCTGCGGGTGCGCCGCCTGTTGTACCCCGCGCCTTCCGGATCCCTCCCCCTGCGGGGTGCGCCGCCTGTTGTACCCCGCGCCTTCCGGATCCCTCCCCCTGCGGGTGCGCCGCCTGTTGTACCCGGCGCCTTCCGGATCCCTGCCCCTGCGGGTGCGCCGCCTGTTGTACCCGCGCCTTCCGGATCCCTCCCCCTGCGGGTGCGCCGCCTGTTGTACCCGGCGCCTTCCGGATCCCTCCCCCTGCGGGTGCGCCGCCTGTTGTACCCGGCGCCTTCCGGATCCCGCCCCCTGCGGGTGCGCCGCCTGTTGTACCCCGCGCCTTCCGGATCCCTCCCCCTGCGGGTGCGCCGCCTGTTGTACCCCGCGCCTTCCGGATCCCTCCCCCTGCTGGTGCGCCGCCTGTTGTACCCGGCGCCTTCCGCATCCCTCCCCCTGCGGGTGCGCCGCCTGTTGTACCCGGCGCCTTCCGCATCCCTCCCCTGCGGGTGCCGCCGCCTGTTGTACCCGCGCCTTCCGGATCCCTCCCCCTGCTGGTGCGCCGCCTGTTGTACCCGGCGCCTTCCGCATCCCTCCCCCTGCGGGTGCGCCGCCTGTTGTACCCGCGCCTTCCTATCCCTCCCCCTGCGGGTGCGCCGCCTGTTGTACCCGGCGCCTTCCGGATCCCTCCCCCTGCGGGTGCGCCGCCTGTTGTACCCGGCGCCTTCCGGATCCCTCCCCCTGCGGGTGCGCCGCCTGTTGTACCCGGCGCCTTCCGGATCCCTCCCCCTGCGGGTGCGCCGCCTGTTGTACCCCGCGCCTTCCGGATCCCTCCCCCTGCGGGTGCGCCGCCTGTTGTACCCCGCGCCTTCCGGATCCCTCCCCCTGCGGGTGCGCCGCCTGTTGTACCCGGCGCCTTCCGGATCCCTCCCCCTGCGGGTGCGCCGCCTGTTGTACCCCGCGCCTTCCGGATCCCTCCCCCTGCGGGTGCGCCGCCTGTTGTACCCCGCGCCTTCCGGATCCCTCCCCTGCGGGTGCGCCGCCTGTTGTACCCCGCGCCTTCCGCATCCCTCCCCCTGCGGGTGCGCCGCCTGTTGTACCCCGCGCCTTCCGGATCCCTCCCCCTGCGGGTGCGCCGCCTGTTGTACCCCGCGCCTTCCGGATCCCTCCCCTGCGGGTGCGCCGCCTGTTGTACCCGGCCCTTCCGATCCCTCCCCCCTGCGGGTGCGCCGCCTGTTTACCCCGCGCCTTCCGCATCCCTCCCCCTGCGGGTGCGCCGCCTGTTGTACCCGCGCCTTCCGCATCCCGTCCCCCTGCGGGTGCGCCGCCTGTTGTACCCGGCGCCTTCCGGATTCCCTCCCCCTGCGGGTGCGCCGCCTGTTTGTACCCGGCGCCTTCCGGATCCCTCCCCCTGCGGGTGCGCCGCCTGTTGTACCCCGCCGCCTTCCGCATCCCTCCCCCTGCGGGTGCGCCGCCTGTTGTACCCAGCCGCCTTCCGGATCCCTCCCCCTGCGGGTGCGCCGCCTGTTGTACCCCGCGCCTTCCGCATCCCTCCCCTGCGGGTGCGCCGCCTGTTTGTACCCGGCGCCTTCCGGATCCCTCCCCCTGCGGGTGCGCCGCCTGTTGTACCCCGCGCCTTCCGCATCCCTCCCCCTGCGGGTGCGCCGCCTGTTGTACCCGGCGCCTTCCGCATCCCTCCCCCTGCGGGTGCGCCGCCTGTTGTACCCGGCGCCTTCCGGATCCCTCCCCCTGCGGGTGCGCCGCCTGTTGTACCCCGCGCCTTCCGGATCCCTCCCCCTGCGGGTGCGCCGCCTGTTGTACCCGGCGCCTTCCAGATCCCTCCCCCTACGGGTGTGCCGCCTGTTGTACCCCGCGCCTTCCGGATCCCTCCCCCTACGGGTGTGCCGCCTGTTGTACCCCGCGCCTTCCAGATCCCTCCCCCTGCAGGGTGCGCCGCCTGTTGTACCCCGCGCCTTCCGGATCCCTCCCCCTGCGGGGTGCGCCGCCTGTTGTACCCTGCGCCTTCCGCATCCCTCCCCCTGCAGGGTGCGCCGCCTGTTGTACCCGGCGCCTTCCGGATCCCTCCCCCTGCGGGTGCGCCGCCTGTTGTACCCGGCGCCTTCCGCATCCCTCCCCCTGCGGGTGCGCCGCCTGTTGTACCCGGCGCCTTCCGCATCCCTCCCCCTGCGGGTGCGCCGCCTGTTGTACCCGGCGCCTTTGATAACCGTCTGTTTACCAGGTGGGCCCCGCGCTGTGCGGCCCCTGGGAGGGAGCATCGCTCCGCGTTTCCTCCGCAGCCCGGCGCGGCTCTGCTGCAGGACCGCTTCCTGAAGTCACTGACCGACCAGAGGAATGGATGAGCGAAGGCCTGCCCGGATGGATGGCAATCAGTGACAGAGCGTCAATCACAGTGGAAAAGGTTTAACTAATTTTGCTCTTTATTACTTTGGTAAAAGCAAAACCAAGTGGCATTGTTGTGGTTTGTGAAAGAGTAGCAATAAAGTTTTTCTGTGCATTTTTGCAAAGATGACTGTCCCTTGTTAGCCTGTGTGAACATTCACATGCTTAAATATGGTTACTTTGTTAATACTGTATTTGAAAACGTTACTTACTGGGAATTTAAGGATGATAATGGTGCGAATCATTGAGAAAGGAGAACCTGGAGTATAAAATGCTCTGAAAGGTTGAGAAGCTAAAACTCAAATCAGACCAGTGGGATTGATGGTGATCCCACTGGCTCTGCCTTCGCCGCCTCTGTTTACAGTAACACCCAATACCCACTACCTCTGCAACCGTGAGGGAGAAGATGATGGGGGTGGGGTGGAAATCCTATGGATGTATGAGTTTTTGCTACTCATAATTTCCTCAAAAATTGCCAAAGATTTGCAAAGTAAAAACGTATTTGTAATTATGTCAAATCATTATTAAAAATATGTTCCCTATTTAGGAAAAGATTTTATACCTCTCCTCAGATATAATTATATATATTTTCAGGTTTAGATCAACACTTTTAGATAATTCTTTTGTTTCAAATATATTTCTAATAGATAAGTCTTCTACTATTAAATATGATATAAAATATTCAATTATTTAAGTATTTTTGTCTTATAAGTGCACTTCACTCAAACGTGGTAAACATATTTTGATGTATTTTGTGAGTTATTTATTTGAAATTAGATGAGAGCTCATTTCAAAATGCAGATGTAAAGACAAACATCTTAGGTTTCCCTTTCTCTCTCCTTAACCTAAACCAGGTTCTAGGTATTACAGAATGTTTGGGTTTTTCCATCAGAAACATGATACGTACCCAGTCTTTTGAAGTGAAAGCATTCAAGTCAAGCTTAGGTGCCCCCCAAACCGCACTGTGATGATGACAATAAATAGATGCTTTGTACTCATGTAGATTTTCCAAAGAAACATTGAGAAGTCTTTAATAAACATTCTCTCATTAATCCTTTTGCCAGGGCAAGCTGCAAAATGTGGAGATGGTAAATCAATAAGTTTATCAAAATAATAAATAAAAAAATCCGTTTTATAAAAAGCTATCTCTTTTTGATGCATCTTTCCTTTTGTTTTTGCAGTTTATACGAATTATATGTCAACTTCACAAATGTCGTTAGATGGAGGGGAGAGAGTAAGAGTTTGAAATTGTGGTTATTGATCTCAGTTACTCCACTGATTTTTCTGTTTTATAGAGAATAATCATGTGCACCTGACTACCTCATGGAGTATGAAGATCAAATATAGGCAACATTCTCTGTATTCTCAATTGCTTTAAAAAAAAAACAACAACCAAAAACAGTTTGGAAAAACAGAAAAATCATCTTTGCGAAGTGCTAACCGGTGTTTGGCAATCATTTGGGGAAATTGTGATTATGTGTTGGCAATTGGATGGCCTCCCCCTACTCATCCTTTCTCCTTTCAAATATTCTTTCCACCATAAAGAATCACCCCATGTTAAGGGTTTTCCATCTCTTTTTGAATTATGATGAGTGTATTGGAAAAGAAAGGCCACCAAGGGCACACATAGTCTGGGCAGAGGTGACATTCCCGTCTGCCCTCTCTCCTGTGAAACCTGGTCCCACCCACCACCTTGGGGTCCTCAGAGGCTGTCCCACTGCGGTGCCTCTGCCTGTGCTCCCTGAAGAGCCCTCATGTAGGAAAGGCTCTGCTTGTACCTGTCTTGTCACACAAGTACACACACACACACACACACACACACACACACCCTGTCCCTAATTAATTTCTACCCATCTTAAAAATCTGATTAATTTGTGAAATTATCTTTCACTAATTTTTCAAACCTTGTGAAACCCCTTCACCTTATAAATGTTCATAACACTTCAATTTATAAATCTTCATAACACTATGTCCCCTGATGTGACACATTTAAAAGTATGTTTATTTGTACTTGTATGATTATTTCATCTTTGATTTATAGCTGCTTTCCCCTCAAAATGGTAACATCCATGTGAACAATGACTTTGCATTTGCTCATCTACAGTTACATTACCATCACCGAACAAATACATTTGAAACGATACTCAAAACTGGGTCCACAAAGTTAGACACAGCTGTGTTCGCTGGTAACTCCTAATCCAAGGCTGAGGTTCTGCCCTTTCATTCTGAGAAACTCAATACACTGCCAAAAAGAACAGAGAAACGGCCTATTGTGTTGGATTAGTCAAGTTTGAATTAAGGTGTGACAAGAAATATCTAAGTTAATTTGCTAATTTTCCAAATACATGCTTTTGTGATGTATGGAACATTTTCTTTCTTATATTACAGAAAGAGTGATGGAAAAAAATTTACAATATAATTTTTTTGCACATATGAAGAAAGTGAGAAGTTAGTTAATTTAAAACAGTTTATCCTAAAGATTCCAATCAAAGTGGCATAGATAAATATGGTACTCAAATCCTCCCACAACCACATTAAAATGACAACTAAATTACAGAACAACTATCACGGAACCACCTGAAATCTAGCAGAACAGAAGTCCTACAACTAAGGATAAAAGAAGCAGCCACATGAGCCTGGTAGGAGGGGCAGAGACTGGGAACGGGCTGGTCTCAGAGCCCTGTGTGGTGGATAAAATCAGGAGGGATATCTCAGCTGCAGAGGTCCCCTGTGAGGAGCAAGGGGTCCGAATGCCACACCAGGTGTCCCAGCCCAGGGTTCCAGTGCCAAGAAGGGGAGTCCCCATAACCTCTGGCTGTAAAAACCAGCAGGGACTATGGCTAAGTGAGTTGGAGGTTTCTGGAGTCCCAGGCAATTCCTCTTAAAGGGCCCACACATGGATTTAGACTCACGTCCTCTGAGCTCCAGCATTGAATTAGCAGCTTGAAAGGCACCAGAACAAGAGCTGGAGGGGCAGGTTTCTCCCAGACAGAAGTTCTGGCAGAGGCCATTGTTCCTTTGCTGAGCCCTCCTCCTACCAAGTGGGCAGGTGGGCACCATATCTGAGTCTCCATCAACCTCGCTCACACTGTTACCCACCCTGGTGATTCCCTGAGATACTTACCCACCCAATTTGTGGGCCCACCCAAGCAGTATCTGGTGGCTTTCCTTACAAATGGACTATCTTGGCTTATGCTTCATGGTTTTCCAAAATATTTCAAATAAGCAGCATCTGGCCTCAGGGTGTCCTGTACCTCGCATTAAGTGGTCCCAGGTCCAGCATTACGGGCAGCTGGCCTTGGTTCACAGCTTGGCCTTTCCTGAGCACATCCAAGCTGAGCATAAGTAGTAACTCTCTGCATATAAATATGTAGCTCAAGTCAGGTGGCTCTGGGCAGGACACAGGTCACAGTTGACCTTGGCCTGCACCTTCAAGGAGACCCCAGAGTCAGCATATCCAGCAGACAGCTTCAGACCATGCTAAAGTAACACCCAACGACCTCCGCAAGTGGCACACGTAAGGAATGGACTGAGCAGGCACCAGAGCCTCACTGAATTAAGTGTTGCTGCTGTGATTGCTCCTGCACAGCTGATCTTCTGGTGGTCTCAGGCAGTCCTCACAGCCAATCGGCCTGGGAGTTAATCACTCCCACTGAGGTGCCAACAGTAATTAAGGCTCAATTACAACAGAAGAGTATACACAGCCCACAATGTGGACGGGTGCACCTTGGGTGCCCAGTCTGGGTGATTGCAGAGGCTGTTGTTCCACTGGGCCCTACAGGACTCCTACTACATAAGACCACTCTACCAAGCCCAGGAGACATATCTCTACCTTATACATTGAAATAAACCCAGCGTGGCTTCCAAAATGAGGAGACCAAAAACATATCCCAAATGAAAGAACATAACAAAACTCCAGAAAATAAACTAGACAACATGGAGACAAGCAATCTACCAGATGCAGAGTTCAAAACACTTGTTATAAGGATCCTTAATGAACTTAGTGTAAAGTAAATAAACTTGCTGAGAACTTCAAAAATAAGATAAGAAACATAAAAACAAAGTTAGAAAACATAAAAAAAAAAAGAATAGTCAGAAATAAATAATACATTAACTGAAACAAAGAATACATTACAGGGAATCAACAGTCAAGTAAATAGAGCAGAGGATCAAATCAGAGATTTGGAAGATAAGGAAGTAGAAAACACCCAAATAGTACAGGAAAAAAAATCCCCCCAAATTAGGATGGTATAAGGAGCCTCTGGGATAACTTCAAACATACCAACATTTGCATTATAGAGGTGCTGGAAAAATAAGTGAGAGAACGAGGTATTGAAAACTTACATAAAAAAATAATGATGAAAACTTTCCTAAACTGGTGAAGGAAACAGACATACAAGTCCAGGAAGTGCAGAGAGTCCCAAACAAGATAAACCTAAAAAGATCACACCAAGACACATCATAATTAAAATGGCAAAGTTTAAAGAAAAAGAGAGAATTTTAAAAGCAGCAAGAGAAAAGCAGTTAGCTACCAACAAGGAAGCTCCTATAAGACTGTCTGCAGATTTATCAACAGAAACATTTCAGGCCAGAAGGAATTGGCATGCAATATTCAGTGATGAAAAACAAGGACCTACAACCAAGACTACTCTACCCTGAAAGGCTATCATTTAGAATCAAAGGATAGTTTCCCAGACAAGAAAAAGCTAAAGGAATTTATCACCACAAAACTAGTATTACATGAAGTGTTAAAGGATCTTTCTTAAAAAGAAGAACAAAAAAGCTAAGAAAATATGCATAATAAAATGGCAGTAAATGTATATCTATTAATAATTACTTTAAATGCAAGTGGATTAAATGCTCCAATCAAAAGACCAAAACAAAAAGAAAAAATAACAAAACAAGACACTTACATATACTTGCTACAAGAGACTCACTTCATATCAGATGACACACACAA